AGCCCTGAGAAGAGAAGTGTGTGTGTGTGTGTGTGGGGGGGGGGTTATAGTACCCCAAAGATGGTCATTATCTGTTCTGTCAATCCAGTTTGTTGAAACAATGGCCTTAAGTTGCAGAAATGCAGATTTTGTTTCAATGTTAGGAAACATTTTGGAGGGCTCCTCTTCACCAGATCTCTTCAAGAAGAAGCTTCTTGTTCAAGAAGAACAAACAACGATTTGTTTAATTTGAATTCTAGCATTGGGAAGAGACTCCATTTGATGGCCTAAATGACCCCCTTCCAACTCTATGATTCTAAGCACAATATGGTAAGCAACACCTGGTTGTTGTTGTTTTTTTGTGCCATTTTAAATTGCTTTAGCATCCCCTACTTGCCAGCCATCCACATCAGCATGTTGTTTTTTTAGAAAAATCTTTTCTCTTTGGAACTGTAGATGTTATTTGGCTCTCTTCCTATCAACATAATTGGAATTTCTGGCATGACTGGGTACCTTAGACTCCTGTAAGTTGCCTTTATTGCATTGAAGAGTCATCAACTGTAACTTCAAGTGTGTGTGCAAATTTACCCAGCCAGGTATGTTGGCATCCTTGTTTAGTTATTTCTCCTCTTTGTAGAAGTGAGAGCATCTCTTAACCTCCTTATGCCTGCCATGGGGCCTCTTATACTGAAGAAGTATGTTAGCACAAGGAAAGCAGGACAGTGACCATTGTCTACTATGTTGCATGTCTTACAACTCGTTGTGTCCCATTTCTGATAACATTCTCCATCTTCTTCTGTTCATTCAAGGACAGCTCACCAAGATGCGTTTCCAACCAAACAGACAATGCAACCGTGGTAGAATGGTTTTACTATTGGTTTTTGCCTTATTTTCATATCAAATCAATTAGAAAACGTCTTACTATTTCATCTAGGCACATCAACACTTTGTACACTTAAAGTCAAGGGAAGAATTTTGTTAACTTCAGTGGAGTAAATCGGGTCTGTTTTGTATTTCCCATGCAGCCTTGGGGCATGGCCTCATGGCAAGCATAAAAAGCAACATTCACTGCAAACAGTGAAGGCCTTTTTTTTGGTCCCTGCTCATTTTTGTTTTCTTACACCATAGTGCATGCTGTTATCATACATGGACTCACACCCCATAGTTATAGATCAGTGCCAGGACATTCTTCTCCTCAAGTACAACTAGGAGAGGTTCTGAATATTACTAACATGAGAAATATTTTTGGATAAAGATGTATGAATTGCATAGACCATGTAATAAGCTGCAGTGAAATAGATGGGCTGGAGCTATCTTTAAAGTCTATTTATTGCTTAATGTTCATACATATATTCAGTGCAATCAGAAGCCTTGAGGGTGTATAATTCTGAGACTCTAAGCCCTTTTTGCTATTCCTACTCAGTAGCTATATATAATGTGAGTATTCAAAAGGCAAGATAAGGTGAAGAAACTAAGAGGAACCTCCTGCCCATATGAGCTGTCAGCTAATGAAACAGGCTGCTATGTGAAGTGATGAGTTCTTTTTTTTGCTAGAGGTCTTCAGACAGAGGCTGGATGGTTATCTGCCAGAGGTGTCCTAACAGATCCTGCACTGAACAGAAGTTTGGATTAGATCACCTATAAGGCACCTTTCAATTCTATGATTCTATGAATCACAGTGATGAGTGATATGCTGAAAATTTATCTACAGTTTTTCTGATCAATTCTCAATTTCATGAATGTGAATTTGATTTCAGGTTTATCTTCCCAAATAGGAAATAATTTTGCAGAAATTCTCATGGTGGTATGTGGTGTTCCCATATTTGTTTAGCCTTAGGTTCCCAAGAGTTTTGTGTGAATTGGACACTTCATCATTCATTGGACAGGTATCTCCAATAGTCTGTGGGCTGAGTCTTCCTGCTTCAACTAACTTCCAAGGGAAGAGGCAACTCCTTCCTTGGCCTTCTTCAGATTGTAAAGCAGGGGCAGTGAAGAAGGCTTCAGGGTGATGGGAAGATGTGTAACAAAAAGCAGCAGCACATTTGCCACCTTCTTCAGCAATAAAGTAAGCTCAAAAAGAACATCAAGAGGAATTCTCAAGCACCCCAGGAATAAAAGAGAAAACCAGAAGCTTCTTTTGAAAGGAAAAGAAGTTTTTGAGAAATTGCAAGATGAATTCTGATACAGCACTATCTTTTAGGGGATAACTTTTATAGGCTGCTTGGAAAATGTCTCCATCTCCTTTCTAATTTTTGGTTACGTGTCCATCTACATATGGATTCTATTTTAAAATACAGTAAACCCTTGATTTAATGGATCTCAGTTTATCATCAGGCTCTGGGGACAAAAGAAAAAATCTGTGCATACAGTGCATGCTTCTGTGCATGTGTAAAATCCCTTTCACCATTTTATGCATATATAAAAGTCATAAAGTACATATGCATAAAATTCCATTTCTTTTTTACACATGCATAAAATCCACTTGTATAAATTGGCATTTGGATTTAACAGAGATTTTGCTTTAACAGGCACTCCTTTCCCACTATTAGTCTGTTGAGTATTTCCTTGTATTTCAAATACTGGTGGTCCTTGCACATTGTATATTCAGTGCCCAAGTAAGAAGATTGGGAGGCAAGTTTCTCTTCACCTTGAAGACCATAAAAAGAGGGTGTGTGCTCTGTTATAGAGAACATTGGGCAACTAATGCCAGGCAAAGCTTTCTGCCCGCATTCAATTTGATGCAAGATAATTTGCTCTAGAGATCCTTTCAAAGGAAAAGAGAATGCAGAGAAAAGGAGCATTGTGTAATTGCATTTCTTGGTGGCCGAGAGGTATACGTGCAGATGGATGTATGCGTATGTATATGTGTATATAAATGTGTGTGTGTGTGTGTGTGTATATATAAAATCCTCTCTCCAGAAGTTTGCAGCCATTGTGCTAAAAGGTCCTTGGAGGTTATTTAGTGCAGCGCTCTTCTTGATGCAGAAATATGGCGCTACACACTCTCTTCAAGCAGGCTATTCTTTCTTGGTTTGGACATCTATATATGTGTATGTGAATAAAATGGAAAAGCTTGTCTTGTTTGGTTTTCCTAAATAAAAGTAAATGAGTTCCCAGGCTTACATTAAATCCCAAGGAAAACATTATGAAAGAATATCTCCCATACGGCTCTTTCAATAACAATGCTACTGTCATTGCTAAGGAAGAATCCTGCAGTTGAGAAATTTTTGCAGTATATGTCTCTTTCTCTGGGGGGAAAAATGAAGACATTATCTACTCAGTGGATTTGCCTTTAAAACTGTTCAGAGGTTTGAATTGTCCATTTGTGTCCAGGTCTAGAAGGCATTGCATGCAAGATGTCTAACTGGGAGTTTAACCTAAAAACCATGAAACACAGATGGAATGGAGCTATGGACCTGTCTATCTGTAATGCATATAAACATTTTTTCCTGCATTCATATGTTTAGGAGTCATGGTTAGTCATACTTCCCACTGTGTAGGTCTGTATTTGTGTGTGAACATTATGCATGAGCCCACAAATGATGCTTTTTTTATATTCTCTTACACCTGTAATTTCAGGTAAGGAAGAAACAAAACAATCAGCAATGCTTGTTTTGACATTTCCTGGTATCTCTGTGAGAAGAAGAGTTTGTAATGCTCTCCACTCAGATGGTTCTGATACTTTATTTACTGATGGTTCTATAATGCTTCCCATTGAAAGCAATTTCAAATATTTGATATAGACATGAGTGGACCTTTTGCACTGCACAACAGAATTGTAGCTAAAGATGATCCAGGCCCAAAGTATTTCTTCTCATCTGTGGGAGAACTGGAAGCACATGAAATGTGTTCAGTGGAAGCCACGTGGTTTAATGGAAGCATTCCTGACACCCATCTTAATGTCTTTTTGATGTCAATAAAAACATTCCTGTTTCCCCAGGCATTTTTACTATTTTGTTTTCAGTTTGATTTTAAATGCTCATTTTATTCTGTAATAAGGATTGTCATATGCTGTATATTTTTTCTGTGCAATTTATCCACTGCATTTTATTGCTTTACCTTTGACTTTTCTTTCACTCAACATTTTTTAGAACCTTGTAATATTTTAACCAGATTGATTTAATTAACTAACTTGGTTGTGGGTCCCAATCCAACTTCTCTAAACATTTCAAGCAACAGAACACATGTAGATAGAAAATTGGGAATGGAGGTTTTGCCAATATTACTCAGCTCTTCAGATTTGCAGTTCTTCCTAGTTATATTGCATCACCTCCACTGTTTTCTTAGTAAGACACAGCACTAGAGGCAGTTTCATTGCACCCTGCTAATTTGGGCCACCTTTCGTTGTTTTAATTTGTTTCCCACCTGCAATATTCCATCTTCATTTTAATGGGGTGAGAATTATATCCTTTTATAGCAGCTGGACAAATCTTTATTTTGATTGCTCAGAGTAAGCAACGAACTTCTTTTTAAAAAAACCTCCCATCCCACCTTTCCCTCAGCAGACATTTATCTGAGGAAGGCATCAACAGTTAACACAAAGAGAATCCAATCCAGCCATATAAAATCACAGCTCAGGAAATCTCATGCTTTCCAGATTAAAGTTAAATAAGGGAAATAGCAGGAGGAAGCCCAAGTGTAACAATATTAGGAAAGAGAAATCTAACTACTTTCTGGATGTTTTGAAACTTTAAATAACTTACGATAACTCTAGATGCCAAGGATGGAGATGAATGCTACCGGGGGTTGCTTCACATCAGCAGGTGAATCACTTGCTACAACTCCACTTGACCAAATTATGGTTACCTAAGTAATCTTTTGGAAGTAGAAACAAAATTTCTCCAATCCTATGGCACTATGTCCATCCTCCATGATTTCTCAAAATTTCTCAGGTTCCTTCCAAACTCTTGCTTGCTTGCAACTGATCTGGAGTTACATTCTGAAGATATGAGCTCATTCAGGGTAAACAGGTGCTTCCTCACTATTGATTTACATACCATTGGTTGCCACTCCCTCCTTGCTGCTCCCTCCTTGTGTGAATTATTTTGCTGGTCCTTTGAAAACAGTTCCACTTTGAAAAGAAGACTGAATGAAAGCAGAAGTTGAGGAGTTCTGCCCTCTCATCAAACTACCTACCACCTTCTGTGAGCAGCAGATCTCAACATAGCTGAAATAATCCTTTTTTGAGGCTTTTAGCTTCCCTTTGAACCTAAGTTCCTTTCATGCTTTAGCTTTTCTGACTTTCTGTCCATATTAGCAGTTTTCTGGGATGTCCTCTGATTATGCCCACCTTTCATTTTCCTGTACATATTCATTTAGCTTAGCTGACAGCGTCCTATGCATCCACAATAATCTCCTAAACTGCCATCCATTTTTTTCCCTCATTGGTATGGTATGTGATTGTATTTCCAATATCTTACTTCTGAGAAGTTCCCAATGCTCCTGTGCTACCTTTTATCTGAAAGTCCATAAGAATCTGCCTGGTTCCTTTATAAGCTTGTTGAAATTGGCTCTCCTGAAATCTATTGTATGTGTACAATAGATGCTCCAGTTTCTTTTTCCTGTCTTCAAAATAAGAAAAAACAGGACTATGAACAGATTATTAAGCAGATGGTTTGTACACATTTACAAAATAATGCATTGATTAGCGGGAAACAGCATGAGATTATCTTGTCAAACCAATCTGAACTTATTTTTTTGATACAATTGACCATGGCAACATGGTGGACATAATGTGCAAAGTATTTAACAAAGTCTCCCATGAGATATTACTAGAGAAGATGATAAAATGTGGGCTAGACTATGCTGCCATTAGATGGGTACAGAGCTGATTGAACGATTGCATCCAATGAGCATATATCCATGGAAGGAGTAGCATCCACAAGTTTTGTTCTAGGCCCAGTGTTGTTCAATCTATTTATAAATGATTTGAGTGAGAGTTAAAAATATGTCTACCAGATTTGCGGATCATACAAAGATAGGGGGATAGCAAATATCTTAGAGAACACATTCAAGATTCAGGAGGACCTGACAAACTAGAACACTGGGCAGAAATCAGCAAGATAACTCTCACCAGGCACAAATGCAAAGTCTTTTATTTAAACAGGAAAATAAATAAATAAATAAATAAATAAAAGCAAAGACAGGAATGTAGAATGGAGGAAGCCATATAGGGCAGCAGCACATGTGAGAGTGCTCTGGGTGTCTTGTGGATCACAAGCTGAACGCAAGCCAACAGTCTGCTACAAGTGCAAAAAAGCAAATATAGTTCTAGGTTCATCAAGAAGAGCCAATATGAAGAGAAGTGATAGTTCCTCTCTATTTTGTGTTTGTTAAATCACATCTAGAATACCTCATGCAGTACTGAGCACCTCATTTTAGGAAAGACTTTGACAAACTTCAGCATGTCTGAAGAAGAGCAATGAAGACAATGTAAGGTTTACCCCGTTCGACTCAGAGAAACTCTCCTGACATGTGTGTTCAGCAAAGAAGTTTACTTTGCTGAAGTTTACTTTACATGTGTGTTCAGCAAAGAAGTTTACTTACGTACGCAATTACAGACAAAGCCAGGACTGGGTTGGCACATCTTACAATACAATTTATAGTTCCCTGTTCCCGTGCTTAACCCCTGTTGCTTGGTTACAGATTACCTGCAGTAATCCCCCCCTTTACTCAAATGGCAGATTCAGTCCAGCTCTTTTGTTTCCTTGATTGCTTTCTATCGATGGCGTTGTTGTTGGCGTTGTTGTTGTAGTCGTTGGGTCTTTCTGTTGCTCCCAAAGCCGGGAGTTCCCAATCACGTGCTGATTGCTTTACCTCTAATCCGCTGCTCTCCTCTTTGTCTACAGCACCTGCGGTCATTTGGCGTTGACACAAAGTATCCGCTTGCGGTTTAGTTAAGCGGCGCCAGCTGGCCCATGAATCAGTTCGCGGTTTCTCACTTCCCCTTTCCTTGCTAGCGCTCCAGCGGTGAAACTGACTGAGCGCGGCTGGGCAAGTTCCTAGCCGTGCCGCGCCGACTGAATCTGACAGACAATATGGTATTTGGAAGGAAAAACATATAGGGATAGTTAGAGGCTTTGGCTATTTTCAGCCTGCAGAAGAGAAGATTGTTGAGAAACACAGTAACTGTCCTCAGATATCTGAAGGACTGTCATGAGAAAGATCAAGAAATGTTGGATAAAAATTATAAGAAAGTAAATTTCAATTAGATATCAGGAAAAAAAAATCTAGCGATAAGAGCGAATCAGTAATGAAACAGACTGCCTAGGAGATGATGGAATAGGGTACACTGAAGATGTTTAAACTGAGTCTGGATGTCGGTCTGCAGGAATGTTATTGTAGTGGATTCCTGCAGTAGGCAGAGACTTGGACTAGATTATATCCAAGACGATTCCAATCCTTATATGTTATGATTCATAGAACTCATGGGAGGAGTGATTGCCACACAGATGAATTGACAGAGACTGCTTGGAACTGGAGCTAGAATGGCTTTATTTCCTTTAGGTGCTACAGAGGGACAGGATGCTTCAGAGAGGAAACAGAAGATAAAAAATGTCAGAACCCTCAACATAATTATTTATTGTGGATGAAAATAAAAAGGCAAAAAGTACATATATAAAATATAAGAAAAATGTAGTTTAAGATTATGGATTTACAAAGAATATCCTTTTAATAACTTTATTTTCCTAATGACCATCAAACCTTTTCCAATATTTTCAACATATATTGGTTAGTAATTTCTAGCAAAATGTTTCAACACAAAAGATCCAGAGTCACAAGTGTTAATTTCTAAAAGAAGGATTCCTAGGAAGTTATGTGCTGTGATCCAAGCTCTCTGAGGGAATGGATTTATGGGCAGGAAATTAGTGATTTTTAACAAAGGGAATTCCAATGCACAAATATAAAGATTTGAAATGTGAACACAATTAATTTTACCTTGATTCCTGCTGGATTTAAGCAAACAAATCAATAAGTTGAGCAGAAAAGAAAGTCACAGTTACAGTACTGTAGATTTAAAAAAGCATCTAACATTTCTAAAACTGCCTATTTTTCTTGCAGTTACATTACTGTGCATTGATGAACACCCTCTGAGTAACATTTATGTTTCAAACATTGCCCTGGCAGAACCTCACTCATGAAAGGAGATCCAGTGTTGTTCCTTCCTAAGAATGCCATTGTGTTCCATCAGTCTGATAATAAAAAGAAAAGTTGTTTTAAGGAAAATTGAAAAAGAGAGAAAATGTCCTTAATATTGTTATGGGTGGAGTACCAGTTTATTTTGTTATGAAGTGTGACTGGTCTTTTTTTCATTGTGCAAGAATCTTACCAGAACACAGTAGCCTCACCAGCTTTCAATTATTTAATTGTAATTGAAGGCAAGACATCTGAAGAGAACTCCTCCCATGGCACATTTTGGGATCAGGAAGTGTTAGTCACCAGAGGAACCTACAAAACAATGAAGAAATACATAATAAAATACACACACTTATTGTAAACTCAGAAAACCTACTAATACATTGAAGAGCAATTATAATGCATCCTGAACATGGAAGTTCCTTTCACAGATTAAATAATGCTTTTGGAAAATTGGAGGACAGTTTGTGGCTATGCCGTGCCCTGATTGTTTCCCAATTTTCAGTACACAACTTGTTTTTCTTCTTTAAAAAGGAAAGCACAGGGAAAAGTAGGAAGATCAGGGAAAGGAAAAAACAATTTTAAAATGTTTCTTCTAGATTTTGAACCAGCAACCTTCTATTTACAAGGCAATAATTATAGCCATGGTGCTATTATAGTACTCATAGTAAAAAGGAAGCCTTGAGTGGTATTAGAGAGCATAGTGAGTATTGACTCAGTTGAAGGAGCATTTCTTCCTCTGCAAAGTAACCAGTAAACTTCCAGGGTTAGCCTACAACAAACTGATGTGAACTATC